TTTTTGGGTTATGGGTTAAAAATGAGGATTTTTGTTATTTTGGGATATTTATAGAGGGGGCTTGGGTATAAATAATGAATAGTTTAATTCTTACCACAATCCCTCTAACTTTGAAGTGTAATTCATTTTGCTCACTCATTGTAAATTTACCCTGTAATATCGAATCAATTCAATTTAGTCCAATCTATTTTTGTAATTTTGCAATTTAACCCCACAACCTTGCTTTTCTCCTTGTAGCTTTCAATTAATTCAATTTGGTCCTCGATTTTTTATTCTTTCAATAGTTTAATTCTTACCACAATCCCTCTAACTTTGAAGTGTAATTCATTTTGCTCACTCATTGTAAATTTACCCTGTAATATCGAATCAATTCAATTTAGTCCAATCTATTTTTGTAATTTTGCAATTTAACCCCACAACCTTTGCTTTTCTCCTTGTAGCTTTCAATTAATTCAATTTGGTCCTCGATTTTTATTCTTTCTAATTTTAAGTGATTTAAATTTAATTTTTCTTTTATTTATCTTATTTATTTAATACTTATTTTTTTTATTTTAATTACTTTATTTTAACCCCAATACTAACTCTTTTATATTATTACTCAACCTTTTTATTCTTTTAGGAATAATTGTAATCGGTCAAAGGTAAGTATTCGGATCGAACTTTTAATTTTATTTTAACCTTTAATTTTCGCAATTAAGATAACCGAGAAATTAAATTAGTACCGAAATGGCAGTACAGGGGTGCTAATCATTCTCTGACTGTAATCGCCTCCCGAATCCGATTTAATTTTGGTAAAAATGAAGATCAGGTAAAATGACAAATTAAGGTATCCTATCAACTTAATTTTAAATGATCGATGGAGGTTCTATCACATCAAATTTAAGTCAGAACCTGATTTTGTGCCCACCTAAACGATGGTTATGACATGTAGTACGTATCGCAACGCCAACAATATTAGTTAAATAAAATTAAAGAAAAAAAGGATAACGGTAATAACGTTTTTGCTAAAAATCTAATTTGACAACTAAAATTAAAAATAAATAACAATTTGATAATTATTGGTGCAATTTATCTTTTAAATAAATATAAAACACTTAAATTAAAAAAAATTAAACTATACATCTTTTTTTCTTTTAATTCTATAAATGATTTTATTAAAATAAAATTCTTAAACTATTATATGTAATCACTTTAGGTATTTAGATTATCTTTTAGCTTAATACAAAAATAAGTGTCTGAACTATGTCTCGAAAAATATATTAGTGCCTAAAGATTTTTTCTCTAAAAATAGGTGTATAATATTTCAAACGTTTTATTTTTAGGTGCCCGGAAGTTAACCACCTTCATCAGCACCGACCTCAACCCTCGATCAAACCCCGTTGACCTTTCGTCGTAATATGCCACCATTTGTCGTGGAGAAAAGTTCAAAGGTTCGTTGGATACCGTCATCATTCTTCATTGGTTTCGGTCAATTCCGACGTCCATAAGTCACATCGTTGTCACCATTCAAACCACCTGAAATTCTAATAAAAAACAGCCCTTTGGTGATGACGATGATGGCTGACTACCGTTTGGGTTGGGAAATTAAAATTGGGAATTAGGGATTTATATTTTGGGGATTTTAAATTTAGGGATTTTGGGTGACGATAAGGACACAATTGATTAATGCTTTGGTGGCAACGAGTGAGTGACCGTTCGAAAATGGTGATGGTCACCGGAGATGACTGGTGACGGTTGGTAATAGGGGTTAAAATGAGAGATTTTATTTTATTTTATAATTCAGTAAAAAATAGATTTTTATAAATATATTTTTTCGTTTTAATTAAAAATAACATTTTTATTATTAAAAAAATAAAAAAATAAACGATAAATACCTAAAAATATAACTGAGAAAATATTAGACACCTATTTTTAGTGAAAAATTTTTTAGACACTAAAATATTTTTTGAAGCATATTTCGAACACTTATTTTGGATTAAGCATTATCTTTATTATTATTATTATTATTATTATTATTATTATAAAACTAAATCTCTAAACTACAATCTTTTCTTACTTTAAATATATTTTTTGGTTAAAATAAATACTTACTTTTATGTGAAATGTCAATTTCTAATTAGTCAAAAAGAATTTTATCTAAAAAAATAGAAAAAATTTAAAAGTTATAATACTTTAATTTTGTTATTTCAGTGGTAAAAATAATTATTATTTCTAAAGATTCTAGATTTATACATTATGAAAATTAGGGGTTTTATGAACATTAAATATTAAATAATTTAGAAATATCTTTAAATTGATATTATCTTGTACTTATTTTATATTAATAAAAAATAATAATTTAATTTTTTTTTATTTTAAACAAATATAGAAAGAGGCACTAAAATCGAGACAATAATGAACGGGGGTATATGAATGAAAGGAGATATTTATGTGATTTATTAAGATGAAGTAGCTTTGCCCATTTTCCGTATGGATTTTGAGCCACTTTTGTAAATTATTAATTGCCTAATAGTTCCAAAATTGCTGGAATTTTGAAGGATCCCCGAAGACCACCGCCCAAGGCATGGCATCGCTTCAAATCTTTTCCATTGTGCATCGTGCCTTGCCATTAAACAAACAAAATTAATATAGGATAAACTATATGTTTATTGTCTCGACTATTACTTTTATTTTGATAATTTAACTATTTTTTTAAATCATAACTAATATTATGTTTTAATTTTATTTTAGTCATCTATCATTAAAAAATTAACGATAACACTGATATGTCATCATAAGATAATATCACGTCATCATTGAATTTTTTTTAAATATTATGTCAATAGTAGGGTGATTATCGAGCGAGTCAATCGCGAGTTGGGTAGTGCCCAACTAGTACTCGTTAAAAATTTTTGTTGCTCGACTCATTACTTGTTAAGCTCATTCCATTAAACTTGATGCTCGATGCTTGCCTCGATATAAACATATATTAATAAATTTAACCAAAAATAATAATAAAAAGTGTATGAAACAATTTTAAAGTCTAAATTCCAAAAGTAACAATCTACAAATACATTAAAATAATAAATAAGATTTGATTTTTGAGTATAATAAAATATTAATTAATAATTTAGTATTTTATTGTTGTTAATTAGAAAATTCATAGATTAGAAATTTATTATCTTTTTATTATATATTAGTAAATTATTATTTTTTTGAATGAAATAATTTTTAAAAAATAATTACTAAAAACTTATCTAAAAAATCATCAAATTGCTTACATTGCTCGACTCAACTCTTTAAGGTCTCGAGTCAAGCTTGAGTTGAGTTAACACGAGCTTTGACCGAGTCGAGTTCTAACTGCTCATGAGCTGCTCAACTCATTAAACACTACTAGTTAGTAGTTGTGTTATTTTTTTACGGTAGTTGATTAAAATAAAATCAAAATGACATTAGGTATGATTAAAAAAAACGTAATAATTGAGTAATAAAAAAAATAAAAGTGATAATTGTGACACTAAACCTGTAGTTTACCCAGTAATACTTCACCACATTATTGTTGTTAGATTCTGAATCTTCTTCCAATCCAACTTGACCTCTATTATTATTTAATATACAGTTTTACCCTTTGCAAAGATGTCAAGTTGTTCAAGGTACTACGCTTATTGGCTTCAACTTAAAATATATTTTGTTGAATTGCGTGGCCTTTCGTACGAATCGAAAACTAGAATAGATCCCTTTCTAGATGCTTTTTTACGTAAAGTTTTTTGTATTCACCCCATCATTATTCTACTCTATCTCATTTTTCTTCGTCTATTCTTTATTTGAGTTGATATTTAATATAATTATCAAAAATTACATAAAAAGGGAATAAAATTATGACTCAGTTTTATATCTGTATATAAATTTAATTGATATTTTTCTGATATATTTAATACGTATATAATTTGAATTTCAGTGTTTTATTTGCATTAACTATATATTTAGTCATCCATTTCTCCTCACATTTCTATTTTAGTAATCTAATTATTATTTTTTTCTCAAAATCATATAAACGTTATAATTTATTTCTGTTTTCATCACTCATTATTAAGAAAATAATTTTTATCATTTTAATACCGTTTTGGCATTTTTAAAGTATTTTTAATTTTCACATCACTAGAATATGTATTTAAGTTATTAGATAAAATCAAAGGAAATTTTGAAATTTTGAAAAAATTAAATGTTCAAATTAATCCTTAATGTTTATTAAAATAATCATTTTTGTTCATATTCCTTTTTAAATATTTTGCTACCAACGTCTCATTTTAGGTCAAAAGGCCCTATTGTTTTACTAATAATCACTTTAATTCTTATTCTTTTATTTTAGATCATTTTTGTCCTCAAAAGTTTCATTTTAGGATAAAAAACTCATATTTTAGAACATTAATTTCTTGTTAACTAATATTTTCATCCATGGAGGAGCTTTATTTCCCCAAAATAAAACATTGTTACATTGGGATCAAAATACTAGAAGAAGAATAGGAGTGCCTTTGAAAAAATAATAGGTAGGTGATCCGGAAGAAATTTAGTAATAGATGAATGACTAAATAGGTGGTTTACTCTTTTATTTAATTGGAATCACGTGTTGTACGAACATTTAATTATCCAAGAAAATCAAACCCACTTTTCTTGATTTGGTTCTTCAAGAACGGGCAACGGGCAGTCCAAATTACTCCATTTAAAACCGCAGTTTCATTCTCTTCCAAGCAAAAATCAAACTCTGAGAAAAAACTAGAAATACCCAAAAAAAAGTTTTTTCTCTCCTAAAACCAGCCCCTGTTGTTGCCCTTTCCAGAACTACACAAAATTAAACGCTTTGTTTAGCCTAATTTATATATTGAAAGGGTTCAGGGGGCGGATATTTATGTTAATAGTTTCGTTTTTTTAGTTTTAAAGTAATTTTTTTGTGTGAATAAAAGCCAAGTTTGTGAATTACTGTTAATAAGAAGAATTATATTTGGGGAAAGGGTGATCGATTTGGGTGGAAATTCTTCATGGGTGTTTTGGTTGATTCCCGAAAGGAAGGTTTGGTTCTTCATGGGGTGGGTTAAAGAGTTTGGTGAGAAGAAAACAGGTGGATTCGGCTCATTCCAAGCGTTTGGGTCATCATCAGCTGGCTAAGCAGTTGACAGTCCCGCATCTCATAGCAATTGGTAACATTTCATGTTTTCTACTTCTTTTGGGGAAGCCCTTTACTATGTTTTTTTTAGCTGATTTTTGGGAAAGTTCGACATTTATTTGTAGTTGTTTGGGGGAATTTTGATGCTGGTTTTTGGTTTTTAGTTATTTCATATATTTAGAGATTTAAGGTGTTTATCTACTATGATGGGTTTCGATCGTTATTCACATTTTCTGTTGTTATTTGCTGGGGGTTTTTTTTACTCTCTTGCTCATATATATATATTTGATGTATGTGGTTATTCTTGTTTTTTATCCTTATTTTAGTTTTTTTTACCTTAAGATAATGTTTTTTCCCCGTTTTTATTTTTGATATATAACTAGATAGCTTATTTTGAACTTTGGTACACTGTGATTAGGTGTTGGATCAACAATTGGAGCTGGAGTATATATTCTTGTTGGAACAGTTGCTAGAGAGCATGCAGGGCCAGCTCTCACCTTTTCTTTTCTAATAGCTGGAATTGCTGCTGCTCTCTCTGCTTTTTGCTATGCCGAGCTTGCGAGTCGTTGCCCCTCTGCCGGCAGTGCCTATCATTATTCATACATTTGTGTTGGTGAAGGGTAATTTGCATTTTTCTTGATTTTGGTCTTGTAAATTTCTTACTGGTGTATTGTTCTTTGTTCTTGCAATTTCAAAAGTTGATACTAGATTTTCAGTCTTTATTGTTTCATATAGATTTATCAGTTTCTTGCCTCTGATACTAGTAAATATCTTTCTGCAGTGTTGCCTGGTTGATTGGTTGGGCTCTGATATTGGAGTATACAATCGGTGGTGCAGCTGTTGCTCGTGGCATCTCGCCGAATCTGGTTTAGTGAATTTTCTCAAAAATTTTGGCCTTCTTTTCTTTGGCTGGTTTTTTGATTAAAATTTCATTATTATTTTTTTTTTGATGTTTGCTTCTAGGCTTTGCTCTTTGGTGGTGAAAATAGTTTACCGTTTTTTCTGGCTCGTCAATATATTCCCGGCCTTGACATTGTGGTGGATCCATGTGCTGCAATTCTAGTTTTCATCGTGACGGGGCTCTTGTGTGTTGGAATCAAGGAGGTGCTGTCTATCACCGCTTTTCATTTTTGTTTTTGTTTTCCAAGTATGGGTGATGGATCCTTTGTTTCCTTAAAATTAAAACCTCTATGCACGTTTCATGCAGAGTACACTAGCACAAGCGATCGTCACCACTGCAAATGTATGTGCCATGATATTTGTTATAATAGCGGGCAGTTATCTGGGTTACCAGACTGGATGGGTTGGATATGGACTTCCTACCGGGTAACTGGAATTTTTTGATATATTTCAATGCAAATATGATCATTCAAAATCTTTTATATTAATTTTTTATCCCATAGGTATTTCCCCTTTGGTGTGGATGGAATGCTTGCTGGGTCTGCAACAGTCTTCTTTGCGTATATCGGTTTTGACTCGGTTGCCAGTACTGCTGAGGAGGTATATGGTTTCTTTTCTTCTAGCAGTTTACTCTGTATTGAAGTTGTCTTTCCTGGTCATATGAAAAATTTGAAATTGTGAATTGCAGGTGAAGAATCCCCAACGAGACTTGCCGCTGGGTATTGCGACAGCCCTCTCCATTTGTTGTGGATTGTACATGCTGGTCTCTGTTGTGATTGTTGGTCTGGTCCCCTATTATGCTATGGATCCCGACACTCCCATCTCATCAGCATTTGCTAGCCATGGGATGCAATGGGCAGCGTGAGTATTCATCATGCATTCGGAGTGTGTATTTATTTATTTTTCGTTTTATGAAACCTTTTTATATGGGGAACCTTCATGCTGTGTTTCAGTTACATAATAACCACTGGAGCTTTTACTGCTCTTTGCTCAACATTAATGGGCTCAATGCTCCCTCAGGTATGAATCGAGTTGGAAGGTTTAATTACTCTAGAGATCCCTCTCAATTATTTTAGTATTCGGATTCAATTAGGATTTTAGATATATTAATTAATGTAATGTTATGTTTAAAATTTTAAATTGTTCCTTGTAAATATTACTTTGTTGTCAACACTTCAACCCATTTAGAATCCAAATAATAAATGATAAAATGCTTGCACTTGAATCTTACATGATCGATCATGGGGCTTAGTGTTTTTTATTTTTACGTAAATTAATTCATTAATCGTGTGTTTTCAGCCTCGGATTCTTATGGCAATGGCTAGAGATGGATTGCTGCCATCTTTTTTTTCAGATGTTAATAAACGCAGCCAGGTTCCTGTCAAAGGCACTTTGACAACTGGTATTGTTGCTGCTTCCTTGTCATTTGTCATGGATGTTTCACAGTTGGCCGGGATGGTAAGTAGACATTTCTTGCAATTGGGATAAACTTCATTTACCTGTTTGGGGTCCAGATCACATTATTTTATCATCTTAGTTTGAATGTAGATCTAAACACGCCGCTGTGTTCGCAATGATTATAGTTTTCTTGGTCTTGATTGCATTCAGTTAATATGGCGACTCGGTCTTAATTGAAAAATGAACGTATCTGACTCTCATATTCGAGCAAGCATCAAGTAAAGGAAAACTTTTACCATATAATGATGTCTCTTATTATTGCTTTAGTCTGTTTGATCATTTACAGTTTTCAAAACAATGTTAATGGGTTGATTACGAAATATGCTCCTGCTTAACTTTCGAGATAAAGAGGCCCCTGGGTTTATATGCCAACATGAAGCTAAGAGTTGCCTTTTTCGTGCAGGTTAGCGTGGGTACACTTCTTGCCTTTACTATGGTAGCAATTTCCGTGTTGATACTTCGATATGTCCCGCCAGATGAGGTGCCATTTCCATCATCACTTCAGGAGTCAATTGATTCTGTCACCCTAAGGTATAGTACCCAGGCAATTAGTGGGAAAAATCCTGAGATAGGTACTTCTGGAGACAGTTCTCAGCCTTTGCTTCGCGAGAAGATTATAGTGGCTGAAAAACAAGAAGCTCAGGCCTCTTGTAAGTTCCTTGCTTTCTGTCTTGTTTTCTTATACACTGTATAGAGTTCATTTAAGCAATTAGTATAAAATGTCTTAGGTTTACCACAAGCTTATGTAAGCAATGTGCTTGAAGGTTTTCTGCTTGCTTTTAAAAGTGCAAAAACCCAATTATTTGGAATGTAAATAGAATATTTTGGAACTTAATATGTTCTTACTCTCCTAAAAATGCTTTTAAAAGTGCATTCATTTATTTCTTAAAGCTTTTCATCAACTGCCATCTCTTGGAGTCTTGATTTCCTTCCATGTAATCGTTATTGTAGGGGCACTCGATGAAGAGAACAGGCGAAAAGTTGCAGGCTGGACCATAATGTTATTATGTGTAGGGATATTTGGCCTTACTCTCGCAGCTTCAAATCTGTGGATTCCGGGGTAGGTTGATTATGTCTGTTGTCGAACTACGTTTTTTTTTCTATTTCAAAATGAAACGGAGGCATTACACATTGATATGGATGAAGAGATAATGAAAACCCATTTTATCGATACTTGGTTGGAGGACATATATTATTTTCTCTATTTGTTGATACAGGATGATAGGAAACTAGTTCCGGATGAACATTTTAGTGGTTTATGACATATATGGAGAAGAATATTCGATTTTATCTTTTAATAACTTCTCTCTTCAAATGGTTTCATTATCTGCTCTTTCGGTTTGATGGTTGTTGGTATCTTCCTATAGACTTATTCGGCTCACATGTTGTGGAGTTGGTGGTGTGCTTCTTCTGTCGGGTCTGATTGTGCTCACATTAATTGATCAAGATGATGCCAGGCACAACTTCGGCCATACCGGAGGCATGTTCCCTGTACTCTTTGTAGTTCATGTTTACCTGCCATTGCCATATTGATTATCTTTACTGTTGAATCAATTTTGAGGCAATATTGATATTATTTTCAGGTTTCATATGTCCTTTCGTTCCACTCCTACCAATTGCTTGCATTCTCATCAATGTCTACTTGCTCATTAATTTGGGGTAAGTCTTAAACTAAGTCTAATTCGAATGCTCAGAATTTTGGTCTTTCCAGAATTCTCATGTTTGCTTCCTTTGAAATTGTCAGGACTGCCACCTGGGCTCGGGTTTCGGTTTGGCTTTTAATGGGGGTGGTGGTTTACGTGTTCTACGGTCGTTCCCATAGCTCACTGCTGGATGCAGTGTATGTGCCTGCGGCTCATGCTGATGAAATTTATCGATCGTCCGCCTCGGGCGACATGTTGGCCTAATTCCACCACGAATGGGGTTTTCTGCCGGAAAAAATGGGGAATTCGTTTGAACCAACGCTTGTTGGTCTTGGTTTTGCTGAAGAACTGTTTGTAATATATATTATAGTTATCCACCGTTTGCTTGATTGTTTTATTTGTGAGATATAGTGGCAGCCATGGTTGATGACCTTAAATCAAACCCTTGTTTATATATATATATATATATATACTATCCCGAGGGTGGGAAAGACTCGTTCAAAAATGTAAATTATAGTACATTTTAGCCTTGGAAGAAATATTTATGATTGTAGTATATTTTCTTATGTTTTTATTATAAAAAAGTATAAAATGAATATTCAATTCTTTATTGATAACGTATACATTAATAAAATTAGTATAACAATATTTTTTAAACTTTTGTAAAACACTTATAATTGCCTGTCTAGCTCAGTTGTAGCGTAAGACTCTTAATCTTGTGGTCGTGGGATTGAGTCTCATGGTGGGTAATTCATAATTCTGATTGTCGGAGGTCTTCTACGGAAGCTGTTTTCAATTGGCATTGAGGACAGTCTATTACCTTATTTTCCCTCCTATTACATATGAGAATAGTGTCAGTTAATTATTTTATAATTTAGTTTTCCTTTTATAAATATATTTTTTCCTTGTGTAGCTAGCCTTCTTTATTCTGTTGGTCGGCGACAATATCAGTTTTAATGTTAGTCGTTAACCCTGTTTATGTGCATTGTTTGTCTTTTAATTTTTATAAATTTGTTTATATGACACATTATTTTTGTATTTGTGATACATTTCTCTCCGTACATGTTTTCTCTGTTTTTTTTACATGATTTTAATATTCTTTATCGATCATTTTGGTCGTTATTTTTGTTTAATTTTCTCAAAATTGAATTTATTGTGGTCTTGATTAATCAAGATGGCATTTATTTGTTATTAGATTGATCTTTCCTACTTCGAACCATTGAATTGAATTTGAATACATGATTTGCGTTTGAATATAATTTTCTCACCATGCTCGATTCCAATTTACGATTTTTAGTGATCTTTTAGTAGTTTGATCTCCAGTTGTGGTTTGTTTATCGATGTAATCAAATCTATTTGTATCTATATTATATTTAAAAATGTGGATGATTTTTTGATTTTTTTCTTTGTATGATCCATGTATATTATAAGTATGCCAATGGTTATAGAAAATATTTTAACTAATCACTAATTTATTCTTTCTTTTTCTAGACTAAAGAGTAACCTTTATAAAAATATATATTTTTCATTGTATGATCCATGTTGGGGAACTAATTTATGCTAAACAAAATTGTCCAGCACAGAGAGTATTAGTACTGTCTTTTGGAGTATCGATACTTCCTTTATTATATTTAAAATTTTAGCCATTATTCAAATAGAATTCTACACTATCGGTACTACTGTGCAAAGTAGTATCGATACCAATTTTGTATGTTGAATTTGAACAACTTGAAAAACAAAGGGTAGTATCAATAGGATTATCGATACTCTCTCTTTGATATCGATCTACAAGAATAGTATCGATAATGTTCATGCAATATCGATACTATAAGAATAATACCGTTACTATTTACCCAGAAAAATATTTTGTGTTCAAATTCGACTTTGAAATATTTTTGAAATTTTTGAACAAATTCAATCAAGTCCAAAAATATTTTGCAATTTTTTGTTATATCAAAATATATGGTCATAAATCAACCATAAATTCATCAGAATTTCACTAACAAGAGATCTTACCTTTAGCTTGGGTCTTCACGTATGGAGAAAAGAGAAGAAGAGAACTCTGGAAGCTTATTTCCTTCTCCACCCCATTCCACGTGGAAAGATATATGAAATTTTTGAACAAATTCAATCAAGTCCAAAAATATTTTGCAATTTTTTGTTATATCAAAATATATGGTCATAAATCAACCATAAATTCATCAAGAATTTCACTAACAAGAGATCTTACCTTTAGCTTGGGTCTTCACGTATGGAGAAAACAAGAGAAGAAGAGAACTCTGGAAGCTTATTTCCTTCTCCACCCCATTCCACGTGGAAAGATATATAACCATAACAATTAAATTATTTCCCTTTGTCAATGACCATTTTGTCCTTCACTTTCTTCTTCTTTACACTTGAATCCTACAAAACATTTCCCATATAACTCATTAAACTATTCAATTATTCTACTTTAATCACCAAATTTTGAAATTTTATAATTTAATCACTAACCCGGTATTGAGGATGTTGTAAATATCACCCTTAAGAAAATTCGTCCTCGAATTTTCAATGGGCAAAGAGATGTGGGTACTGATTTCTCATATCCTCTTCACGTTCCCACGTTGCTTCCTCAACCTTTTGATTCCTCCACAAGACTTTAACCAATAGAATAGTCTTGTTCATCAATTGCCTAACCTCATTTGCTAAAACTTGAATGGGTTCTTCCTCATAAGTCAAATTCGGTTGCACCTCGATCTCTTCTGGTGTTTCGATATAGGAGGGATCCGATCTATACTTCCGAAGCATTGAGACATGTAAAACATTATGAATCTTTTCCATTTCCGGTGGCAAGGCCAATTGATATGCCACTGGTCCCACTCTTTTTACAATTTCATATGGTCCAATAAACCGAGGACTCAACTTTCCTTTCCGACCAAACCTCAACACCTTCTTCCATATATATACTTTTAAAAACACTTTATCACCAACTTGAAATTCAATTTCTTTCCTTTTCAGATCTGCATATGCTTTTTGTCTATCTGTGGCAGATTTGAGATTATTCTGGATTACAATAACTTTTTCTTCCATCTCCTGAATTAATTCAGGACCAAGAACTTCTAGATCCTTAAGCTCATACCAGTTCAAAGGCGCACAACACTTCCTCCCGTATAAAGCTCTATAGGGAGCCATTTTAATGCTCGATTGATAGCTATTGTTGTATGCAAATTCAGCAAGTGGCAAATATCTTTCCCACGATCCCTTGAATTCAATTACACAAGCTCTAAACATGTCTTTTAAGATTTGGATCGTTTGTTCAGATTTTCCATCGGTCTTAGGTGAAACCCTGTGCTAAAATCCAATCGAGTTCCTAATTCTCCATAAATGATTTCCAAAATCTTGAAGTAAATCGAGGACCTCAATTAGAAACTATAGAAACAGGTACACCATGCAACCATATAATCTCTCTTATATATAACTCGGCATACTTATCCATGGAGAAATCTGCTCGCACTGGTATGAAATGGGTTGATTTAGTCAATCTATCTACAATCACCCAGATTGAATCTCTTTTGATCAGAGTTAGAGGTAATCCCATCACAAAGTCCATCGTTACATTCTCCCATTTCCACTGAGGAATCGACATAGGTTGCAATAATCCTGACGGAACTTGATGTTCAACTTTGACTTGCTGACAAGTCAAACACTTGGATACAAATTCCGTAATGTTCATTTTCATTCACGGCCACCAATACCGACTCTTGAGATCCATATACATTTTGTTTCCTCTAGGATGCATCGCCAATGGACTACAATGATCTTCTGTTAACAACTCATTTATCAACTCCTTATTATATGGAATTACTAGTATCCCTCGATAGTATAAATTCCCATCAGTCTTAATCTCATAATCAATAAGCTCTCCATTCTTTACATGCTGTAACCTCTTTGAACACTCTTCGTCTCTAGCTTGCAATTCTTTGATTCTATCTATCCATGATGGCCGAAGGGTTAATTCCGCACATAAAGCACCATCATCATTCAATGACAACCTAGCATCCAAGGCTCGTAAGGCTGCAAACGTCTTTTGGCTTAAAGCATCCGCTACCACATTTGCTTTTCCAGGATGAAAATCTATCACAATATCATAATCTTTCAAAAATTCTATCCACTTCCTTTGCCTTAAATTCAACTCCTTTTGGGTCATCAGGTATTTCAGACTCTTATGATATGTATATAAACAACATCGTTCACAATACAAGTAGTGGCGCCAGATCTTTAGGGCGAATATCACTGCAGCCATCTCCAGATCATATGTAGGATAATTCTTCTCGTGTGGTTTTAATTGCCTCAACGCATACGCTACCACTTTACCCTCTTGCATTAGTACACATCCCAAGCCATTGTGGGACTCGTCACTATAAACCACGTCGTTTTTACCAGACTCTAGTTGAATTAATACTGGAGCTTCTATCAAAATCTTTTTCAGCATATCAAAACGTTCTTGACATTTAGGGGTCCACAGTTACACCTTTTCTCACCAACTTGGTTAATGGTAGAGAGATCATCGAAAAGTTCTTAACGAACCTTCGATAATAACCGGCAAGTCCTAGAAAACTGTGAACTTTAGATACATTCTTGGGAACCTCCCATTCAAGGATAGCTTTTACTTTATGAGGATCCACTCGAATTTCTTCCGCAGAAATCACATGTCCGAGAAATATAACTTCATTCAACCAGAATTCACATTTGGATAGCTTGGCATATAACTTCTTGTCTCGAAGAGTTTGCTAGACTATCTTCAAATGTGCACTATGCTCTCCATTTGTCTTTGAATACTCCAATATGTCATTGATAAACACCACTACAAATTGGTCCAAATAAGGTTGAAAAATTCAATTGATCAAGTCCATAAAAGCAGCTGGTGCATTTGTAACTCCGAAGGGCATCATAATGAACTCATAGTGGCCATACCTCGTTCTAAATGTAGTTTTTGAAATATCTTTCTCTTGAACTTTCAATTGATGATATCCCGATCGCAAGTCAATCTTAGAGAAGACTGAAGCTCCCTTCAACTGATCAAATAAATCATCAGTTCTAGGGAGAGGATACTTATTCTTAATGGTTACTTTATTGAGTTGTCTAAAAGCTGTACTGAAATTCAAACGAGTACCCAGAGCCTCGTGCAAAACTTTCCAGAACCTGGAAGTGAATCTCGGATCTCGATCAGATATGATAGACAACGGAACACCATGAAGTCTAACGATCTCAAAAATTTACAACTTAGCCAGTTTGTCCAGAGAATAATTAACCTGAATAGGGATAAAGTGCGCTGACTTGGTGAGTCGATCAACAATCACCCAGATAGAATCCTTTTTGAAAGGAGTCAGAGGAAGACCATTAACGAAGTCCATCATAATGCGCTCCCATTTCCACTCAGGAATCTTAATTGACTGTAACAATCCAGATGGATGCTGGTGCTCTGCCTTAACCTGCTGACAAGTCAAACACCTCGCCACAAAATCTGAAATATTATTCTTCATACCAATCCAAAAGTATCGCTCTTTCAGATTATTGTACATTTTATTCCCGCCAGGATGCATAGCATAAGGACTACTATGAGCCTCCTAAAGAATAACCCGTCTCAACTCATCATCTTTAGGGACGTAGTAACGACCGTGAAAACACAAAATACCATCCTGATCCACAGTATACTCCGAACTCAATCCCTGCTTAACTTGTTCAATAATTGGTAGCAATGAGGAATCCAGAAGTTGTTTGGTCTTAATCTCCTCGGCCAAAGTAGGTTTAACCTGCAACTCTGCTAACAAATTGTTATCATGCAAATAAACTCAAGTTGGCGAATAAGGCTCCGAGACCTGATATAGCCTTACGGCTCAAGGCGTCTGCCACTACATTAGCCTTCCATGGATGATATTCTATCTCTAAATCATAGTCTTTTAGAAGCTCCAACCAGCGACGCTGTCTCAAATTCAATTCTTTATGAGTAAGAAAATACTTTATACTCTTATGATCAGTATAAATATAACATTTTTCTCCATATAGGTAGTACCTCCAGATCTTTAAAGCAAAAACTACAGCAACTAACTCCAAATCGTGAATAGGATAGTTACGCTCATGCGGCTTTAACTGACGCGAAGTATAAACGACAACCTTCCTATCTTGCATCAAAACACATCCTAATCCAGAGTGAGAAGTATCACTGTAGACAGAAAAATCTTTTCTAGATTCAGGTTGAATCAGCACTGGGGCTTGAGTTATAACAGTCTTCAATTTCTCAAAGCTAGCTTGTTGGTTCTCAGACTAGACAAATGGAACATTTTTCCTCAATAGTTTCGTTAGAGGAGCTGCAATAAGAGAGAACCCCTCAACGAAATGACGATAGTAACCAGCTAAACCTAATAAACTACGAATCTCAGAGACATTTCTGGGTTGCTTCCAGTTCAGAATAGCTTCCACTTTGCTTGGATCCACCCGAATGCCTTCAGCAGAAACAATATGTCCAAGAAAAGTCACTTCGCTGAGCCAGGACTCAAACTTGCTCAACTTAGCGTATAACTTATTCTCCCTTAGAATCTGTAGAACAATCCTTAAGTGTTTATCATGTTCTGCATCACTTCTAGAATATACCAGTATGTCATCAATGAATACAACTACAAACTGGTCCAAATAAGGTCGAAACACCCTATGCATCAGATCCATAAAAGCAGTAGGGCATTTGTTAACCCGAATGGCATCACTAAAAACTCATAATGCCCATACCGAATACGAAAAGCAATTTTTGGAATATCCGAGTCTTTCACCCTGAGTTGATAATAACCAGACCTCAAGTCTATTTTTGAAAAGATAGAAAACCCTCAAAATTGGTCAAATAGATCATCGATTCTGGGCAGAGGATATTTGTTTTTAACCGTGAGCTTGTTCAGTCTTCTATAATCAATACAAAGTCTCAATGTCCCATCTTTCTTATTGACAAAAAGAACTGGGGCTCCCCACGATGATACACTAGGTCGGATAAATCCCCTATCCAACAACTCCTGAAGTTAGATTTTCAGTTCTTTAAGCTCCTTTGGGGCCATACGATAAGGAGCCATTGAAACCGGAGTGGAACTAGAATAGATAGACTTCAATTTCAAACTCAACATCTCTATCCGGCGGTAATCCAGGCAACTCCTCGGGAAAAACATCAGAAAATTCCTTGACAATCTGGATGCCTTCAATATCAGATTGAGAACTACTGGTATCCAATATATAAGCAAAAAACCCCTCAGAACCTTTCCTGATCATCTTCTCAACTACCAAAGCAGACACAACATTCGTCAGAAATCCACGGCGTTCCCCGATCATTACAATCTTTCATATATCTAGGGTCTTCAGAATAGCTCTCTTGGTCTCAAAATAAATATTTACTCGATGTTTGTCCAACCAATCTATACCGAGAATCAAATCAAACTCTTCCAAAGGTAACTCCATCAGGTCGGCCAGAAAAATTTCTCCATTGATCTCTATAGGACATTCTCTAAAAATACGATCCAACATTATGGACTTGCCTAAGGGACTTTGAACTATCACCGAATGCTCAGTATTCTCAACAGGAATATTTAGACCCTAAAAAATAGAATGCGATATATAGGAATTTGTAGAACCACTATCAAACAATGTAAAGTAGGGAACTGAATGAATAGTAACAGTACCTAAAATCACATTAGGCCCATCGCGATCTTGTCGAAGTCTAGCAGTGTAAACCAATGCAGGTTGTCTGGCCTCAGATCTGACTGGACCCCTATTTTGATATACACGACCTCTACTAGTCGATCCAGATGATCTCTCCTAAGTACGACCACCCGCAGGAGTCTAAACAGTACTCTGAGTACGAGCGGGAGTACGAGCTGGTGTCTGAACTGAATGAGTTAACTCTGGATAATCCTTTACAATATGGTCACCTGAACCACATCTAAAACATGTACCCAATTTCTTCCTGTATTCCCCATAATGAGGTTTCCCACAATAATTACATGACTACAAAGATTGCGACCCAGAAGATCCACCATATCTAGAAGGCTGAAAAGTTGAAGAACCAGATGCAAACAGGTCTGACACTCGCACCGCCTCTCTGAAATGACTCACCCCTGCCTCTCTTGCTAGAGTGTGTAGAAGAATCAACAGAACCAGAAGGCCTCCTGAATCAATTTTGGGCTCGATCACTATCTCTCTTGTGCTCCATACCCAATCGCTCTACTTCCTCAGCAGTCTTGGCTATCTCAACCAATGCATCAAAATTCCTCTCCCGATGGGTAGCGACTCGACTCCTGATCTCATACCGGAGTCCATTTTCAAATCTCAAGCATTTATCTGTCTCTGTGTCAACAAGTCCAGGAGCATAATAGCTCAATCGGATGAACTCAACCTCGTAGTCCATAATAGACATATTACCCTGCTCCAGATTCTGAAACTCCTGATGTCGCTCCTGTAAATATCTCTCTCGATGTAGCGACTCCGGAAGCGAGTCTTAAAAAGATCCCATGTTAACTGGTTTTTCAAAATACTACCAGAAATTGATTGCCACCATCTAAAGCTCTCTTTCTTCAACATTTAGGGCCCCCTTAAACTTCTGTTCAGGTCCGAGGTCCATCTCATCCATAATCCTCTCTGTGTCCTCCAGCCAATACTCAGTGTCTTTCGGGGTCCACCAGTAATACCCTCGAATGGAACTACAGCAGCGACCAAAGAATTTGAAATCTCAACCGCAGTCATATTACTAGGGGCTCTGGCAGCTCTCTGAAACATGCGGAATATATCTCTATTAATGACATCTTCATTCACGCCAGTATCCTCATCTCCAGTGACGGGAGGGTCTCTCACAGGAGTAAACTGATCATCATGAGAAAGGGTCGGATCTACTTGCGGAACAGGAGGATCACGTGAGACATCGAATCGTCAATCGTAACAGAAGGTCGAGCAACTCGCCCTCGACCATGTCCACGTCCTGTCTTACGACCTCTAGCAGCACTTATCGTTAGATCTATAAGGTTCTACAGAAAGAATTTAAAACATATGTCAGATTAACATCAGAGATCTTGAAAAATTTTAAATCATAAAATAAGGTGACATTTTTTTATTTCTTAAAAATCCAAAATTTAGGACCCATATACAGTCCGAGTGTTTAAAACCGAAAGCTCTGATACCACCAAATGTAGCCTCCCAGACCAGTCTGTAAGTTAGACCCAAACCTAAGTGGTCACATGTCCCATTCAGAGGTTTTTTTAAACAACTTATAGAACA